GCCCATCCTGCATACTCTTTTTCCCTATGCTGGGGCCTCCTCACAAGCCCCGAGACCCGATTAGGTCGAAACTATATTCCTGGCGATGTATGATACCCCCATGCAGCCCTAAAATCCTTATAGTTTCAATTTATTTTCCATTATCCCAATAGTATCCCATTTTATTTTCCATTATCCCAATAGTATCCCAAGTATATCCCCTGTATGTGTTTGCAGGGCTTCCGGCTCGTGGAGCGCGCAGAGCTTACTGCCACAACCTCAACTTCCTGGAAAGGGTGCGTGCTATGAGAACATGCATCAGACAAGATTTGTGCTCGTGGTCATGAGAAATTGGTGGTATACCTATCTTTGGCCCTAAACCACCCGATAAACCTGAGTCCTAAACTTAAAAAAAACATTTCACCTTGCTACCATGACTCATTTTGACTTCGGTGTTCTGTACACGCACACGTTCCAGTCACTGCCAGTGGTGCTGCCAAGCTCCCACCATGTGAGCTAGAGTCTTGACTCCTTGAAACGGGGGTTACAACCCCCTGTATTTAGGGTTTACTTTTTAGGGTTTAGGGATTAGGGTTATTGAGGGGGTATAATCAGGATTCTTCAGGGGGATATTACGAGTTTAGACTATAGCTGTTGTGTTCTTCATAGTTCATAGTTGTTGCCGGTATCGGGAATTCTCGCAATGCACAATTTGCATGTAGTAGAAATGATTACAATTCGTTTAGGCCATGATTGTACTCAGTAATAGTTGCAAACATCCGTGAGCATGGAAGACTTGACTCGTGATTGACTCCTGACGCATGCTTGCGCAAGCGCTGTCTTGTTCGAAACCTTCCCGACTAATTGTTGCTGAGCACAATGTAGCCTTTCACAAATCGACCTCTACAAAACATGCTCCCATCAAGGTCCGAGCGTCCCGCTCACCTCCCATGGCTCAGATTGATGTTGATGTCGACTCCTCAGCGATGTGCTGATAATTGACGGAACGGCAGAAGTGGAGGGGGAGCCTGAGCATTACTGACGAATGCAACAGTGCCTATATGTATATGTATATATATATAGATATATGCATCATTGCGCGCTTCCTCCCTCCCCTGCCACCCTGTGGTGTGATTGGGCTTGGGTCGTGGGGATAGTATAGTGAGTGAGATAATACATGAGTAAACTTACGGTAGGACTTTCTAGAAGAGGAAATCAACAAGGAGACTATACATAGAGGTTTCTAAATCTGGTAATTTTAGGAGTCTACATCTGGACGTGTAACCGTAGAGTTTGTATGGAGGGATTATAAGGAGCCAGTGAGAATCAACCCCTCCAACCCCCGTGTGGCTCCTGGCTTGGCTGGGGGCTTTCGGGGGGGAAGCCTGCAAGGTTTGGGTTTAGAGTTTGGGGGGGCCAAACGCACAGCGCACAACAACATATCCCTGTTTAAGCTGATATATCCGATATAATATATAGTTCTTGATCCCTCTATATCCTTATGTATATGCTTGCAACGCCCCAAAACCCCAAACCCAACACCCTGAAAATGCCCGCTGAGTTGGTGGTGGATCCAAAATCTTCGCAACCGGATGAGCTGATCTTGGTCGCTCCATTGGGCTTCAATTTCACGCAGCAGCTGAGCTGCAGAAGATGGGGTTAATATTGGGATATTGGAAAAGAAAACGGAAACTACTATAGGGTTCAGGATTTAGGGTTAAGGCTTTAGGGGTTAAACAAGGGGGAGATATAGTAGGGGTTAAGGGGAGAATAGGGAATATATTGGGGTTATATAAGGATAATTGAAAAGAAAATGGAAGCTACTAGGGATAATGAAAAGAAAATGGAAACTATTATTTTTTTTAAAGAGGGTTTATCTTGGGGTTAGAAGTTGCATATGTCGAGACTATATGGATTAGATGGGGATATGATAGCGATCCCTGGAAAATCAAATGGACAAGAATATGCAAAATGAAATGGACAGTAAGATTTTGATGAGAGTGTTGTGGCGTTTGCGTATCAGGTT